TTCCCACTCCTCCATCAGACCCTCAGCTCAGACATGATGAGACCATGATGTTTTCACACTATCCCCTCAATGGCAAAAAGGGTTCACCCTTAAAGAAATGCTTGCGAAATAAGTTAGTAGCATGGTACTCAGAGTCCTAAGATTTCCATCTCCTGATTCTTCAATCACATGCAAACCCAAAAACTGCTCTGATGAGATTCAACAGAGCTAATTAAAGTTCCAAATTGCTTAACTTTTCAAATACAGATATAATAGCAAGTAAGCGAACCCTTTACAGCCAGGAAGTCATTTCTAGGTAACGGCAGTCGCAGAGATCACAAGAATAGAGGGAACTGACATACCATCACATACTCAGAGATGAAAAAGATCTAATAAGTAGGAAAAAAGGCAGATTCCAGAAGCTGATAGCCAGCAGGAAAATAATGACCCAGTCCTACAGCCACAAAGAACTTAATCTAGGCCTGCCCTGATAGTGTAGCAGCTAAACAGCCTTGAATGCCCCGGGAGCCAATATGGGTGCTAGTTCTAATCCCAGTAGCCCTGCTTCCCAGGAATCTGCCTGTGGCCTAGGAAAACAGTCAGGATGACCCAAAGCCTTGGGATCCTGTACCTGCATGGGAGACCTGGAAGAAGCTCCTGGCTTCAGATTGGTTCAGCTACAGCCATTGTGGCCACCTGGGAAGTGAACCATCAGATGGAAGATCTTCCTCTCTGTCTCTCCTCCTCTCTGCTTTTCCAATAAAAATAAATAATTTTTTTTAAAAAGAACTTAATCTGCAAACAACTAGAGACCTTGGCAGACAAACTCAAGTCCCACAAAGAAGCTACAACCATGGCCTACACCTTGGTTCCAGCTTTATGAGACCCAGAGCAGAGATTCCAAACACCCTGCCTGTGAATTCTGGGCTGCATAACTGTGAAATAATACACATGTGTGGCTAGCAGCTGCTGTCTTTGTGATTGTTATACAACAATAGGAATCAGGTACCAGCAGGTTTCCAAGTCCACAGAGATGTAGGTGATCAGACTGCTGACCAAGTTTCCAAAGGAACTTTAAAGAAGTCAGTGTTGCCTGAACCCTTACATCATGGAGGAGTCAAGCAATGTAGGGATGGTGGTAATGTCCCACAGTGGCTACAGTACTGACTAAGGAATATGAAATCCCAGCATCTAGTCCTCTTGCTTTCCTAGGTGACTGCAAGCAAGTCATTTTAGGTCTCAAACTCTTGGCTCTTCTGTAAGATAGGGACATTCATATACCCCCACACACTTCATGAGATTATAAGTGGAATTAAAATAGTGAGTCCAATGAGCCATAAAGTTGGGGGTCAATTCTGGAGAAAAATGGGGATTGTAGGCATTTTAGGAAAAGCAATGTCGAGTCACAAAACTAATAAAACTCAGGTGATAAGGCAGATCTCCAAGGGCTTTGGATCACAGCTTTTCTTTCTTTACTAAGAAAAGGACTGCTTCTCCCTTAAAAATAATAGCCTTGGATTTCAACAGCACTATTCAAAGTGCTTCCCCCTGTACCACTTTAATTCTAGTAGCTTGAATCAGCTGAAAGAAAAAATAGACTGAGTCTGACACCAAAAGTTCTGCCTTTTCATCTTGAATCAGAGTAAGTCTCACCCATTATATAGCAGGAAGATAGAGGTGCAGCTAGGTAGGTGAGTTGGCCAAGAGATGGGACTGGCAGTGAAAAAAGACTAAGTAATTGTTCCTAATGCTGGCCTCTGATGACTCCAGGTTCCTGACCCTAGCACGGAGCTGGGAAAGCCATAGTGCCCTTGGGGAAAGCCCAGTTTCCCCTGTACTAAGTCTGAACTGAAGGTGGGGAGGATGGCCTCACACTCAAGGTCCCATTTTGTGGACCAAAGCAAATGAAGCATCAGAATTGTGTCACATTTTTCAATAACCTCTTCTCTAGCCCTCCAGTTATTCCATAGTGATACTTGTGGGCTGTTAATAGCAAAACTGTTTCTTCGGCATTTTCATTAAGTAGGTGGGGATGTAGGGAATTCTGTGCAGGGGAGGCTGCTTGCAAAACCCAGCAGATAAATATTAATTAAGAGGGAACAGCAAGAAGGAGCCTGAGGCCTGGAACTTTCTTGGGAAGCTTTTGAGCTTTACAAGATAATTCTCAACCTGAGATATCTTAGCTGGATCTCTCAATTCTGTAATGTAGGACAGGACAGCAGCCTCCCCAAACACTTGGTTCAATGCCACGACTGCAGATACCCCAAATCATAAGCAATGTGGACTCTCTCGGCCCTGACAGGTCTTTCCAGCCTCTAGCATCCAAGTGAATGGAATCAGCAAGTTAGAAGAGAGGCAGCATTTGTTATTGAGGGCCTACTCTGTTCCAGAGACACAAGGCTGCATTAAAGAGATTAAAAAAAAATCCTTTACTCACATGGAACCTATGGCCTAGGGGGACACAGAGAGTTAAACAATCAAACAAACAAATGTCACATTTCAACTGCCCAGAGAGTTATTTGACACTCTTGATTCTTACATTTGAATGCTAAAAATGTGGTGGTTAGGATGGGGTCTGCAGGAAGATAAAATGAGCAGGGGAAAGAGCAGCCTGTATAAAAGGGTGGGAATCTTTTGAACATGAGGCATCAAAAAACCAGCATGACCTGAGCATGGTGTGTGTGTTGTTGGATGGCAATGCAGAGTGAACCAGGGGCCAGACCACATAGGGCCTCAAGGGTCACCAAAGAGTTTGAATTCGGCTCCAAGAGTTAAGAAAAAGGCTTTGATGGGTTTTTAAGCAGGGAAGCAACATGATGCAATTAGTGCTTTTCAAAAGATCACTCAGGCTACCTTGTGGGGAACTTATTAGGCCAGGGAGTGAGGGGATAGGGGTCCAGACAGAAGCAAGAAGTGCAGGGCAGGCACTGCTGTGGTCATCTAGAATGATGAGAAAGAAGCTGCAGCTTCAAATGGCCTTGACACTTCTGTCTGCCACCTTTTCGAGTTATCCGCAGGTGAGGTGATTTTCCATCCAATTGTGTACTCATTGTAAGATGTTGGGGGAGTGATTAAGCCTCTATATGTCTATACTGCTGGACTTCTCGATGCAAGCCTTATATCCTGGTCTACCTACTTTTGAGTTCAGATCACATCATGTCAGAGATAGGAGTGTGAGAGGACACAGCCAGACACTGACCCCACATGACACTTCATATCTCCCGTGTCTAGCTTAGATATGGGTCCCCAGAACCCTGAGGGGATGAAGATCAGCTACCAAGTACAATATCTCTATAAATGGATCACCACTTGGACTTCCAGAAATAGAAAAAGCGTCTCGCTTGCAGAATAGCCACCTTAATGTTATATCACCCTTCCAACCAAAAACATCTTCCTCTTATTTAGTGTTTGTTTTCCTGAAACTTCTATCAATTGCTCCTGAATCAGATCACACGGAACAAGTCTCATGCCAACATTTTAGTGTACATGTCTCTGCAAACCTTTTCTTCTTATTAAGTGTTCTCACTTCCTATAGCTGTTCATAGCCTTGCTCCATTTTCCCAGCCTCAAGTCCTTTGAACAGTTTTCTCTCATTTTTTGTTAATATGAAGCATCCGGAGGCATTCTTTTCCACATAACAAGCAATAACAAATATTTGTTGGATTTCCTGGAGTGAGCATTGTCTGCCCACAATGAAAAGGAGCCTCCAAGAAACCGAGACAAGGGCAAGTGCAAATGATTATGGGAATAACATAGGAAGGGTCAACCAGGGCTTTTTAAACCAGTGTGGAACAATCGAGTGAACCAGCAGGCCCAGGCTCTGTTCCTGATTCACAGCATGGTTTGAGACTCTTGAGTTCCTTTATCTGTAAAACTCATGGGTTGGATTGCCGATTCCTCTGGTTGTTAAATGTTAGGTTTTAACTAAGCACTGTCACTTGCTGAAGGCTCTGAGCTTGAAGCTGTCAGAGCACATACTAGAAAAGACTTTAAGATTTAGTAACTCAGGGATGACACTTCCTTAGTAAATTGAGTGGGATGGAAAGAGAAATGGAATGCAAATGATTTTATCACTGGAAGATTCCGTATGGTTTCATGTCCTGTCTGTCTACCACATAAAATTGCTCCACATAATATCCACATCATCTTGGGGAATCATATTTTCAAGAAGCCCTTGACTTGGAACTGCCCTAGCCAATTCAGTAATTCCAGTGGGATTTTTGGCTGGTCCTGAATCTTTTCATTGTTTTGGAGTGTCAAGAGTGGAGAATGAGAAGTTCTCATTGCCACTGAAGAGTGGCAATGAGAAGTTCAAGGATAAAATTTTCACCTCATGTATGATTATTATATTTCTGATTTTTTAATCTTTTTTATTTCAGTGAAATTCTCTTTCTCTGTGATGGGGAAGGTTGGGTGGGATAGAATTGTTCCTGAAACCAATGGTAACATTCTCCACAGTAGATATAGTACAATTGTTTTCATTCTATTTTCAATATATTCTTCCTTTCCCTCCATCTAGTCCATGAGGACAATGATATCCCTTTTGTCAGCCTTGAAGGCAATAATGGAAAGGTGGTCTGACCAATACTGCTGAGCCAATCAACTGTGTACACTGTGTGTGTAAATGCATTATATATATACATATATATATACACACACAAAACATTTGCTGTATATGTAACTGTATTTGAAAAGACTTATGTGTTTGTGATTTCTATAAGCAAGTGTTGACATAACGGTGTCTTTGTTGGCATGTGTCTTGATGTATACGTGTGTATAAAATGAGTGTCAGTACATATCTGTGGGCTTTATCACCCCAGAGAGGCAACAATCCCACAGCTCCTTGTCTGTGACAGGAGTGAAATGTGGAATCTCCCTGACATTTGAATTCTCACATCCTGCTCTCAAAGGAGAAGGATGCAATAGGGCTTGACAGCCCTGCTCCAGGGCTCCAGCTGGCTCCCAGACCCTCCCCTGCAACTGCTGTATCTGCTTCTGATGCCTCTTCTCCTTGCCTACAGGTCTCTGTCTGGCCGCATTGTTGGTGGCGTCTGGTGGTTCTTCACCTTGATCATCATCTCCTCCTACACCGCCAACCTGGCTGCCTTCCTCACCGTGGAAAGAATGGTGTCTCCCATTGAGAGTGCAGAGGACCTGGCCAAGCAGACAGAAATCGCTTATGGGACATTGGAAGCAGGATCTACTAAGGAGTTCTTCAGGGTAGGGACATTCCTAGTCCCAGGACGCTGTCACAAGAGGGAACTGTTGCTGTCGTTACAATTCAGATACCATTTTCATTAAAAATCATATCACAGAGAGCCAAGGCAACTGCTTAATTAAACACAAATCAGGGAAACTCAAATCATATCTCAGCTTTCTACATGTCCACATTTGTGAAAGCTTGGCATTGAAACTTGCATTGATTTAGACCCCTTGTCTATACCAATCTGTGCTGATTCTCTGGGAGGTTCAAGGTCAACCAATGAAATGCTTTCCCTTCCCCACAATGACTTTGCTGTCTACTCAGCAACCCTTTAGAATCAGCTTAGAAACCAGAGTCAGATCTGGTGTCCCCTCCCATCTCAGAGCAGATCAGTGGATGATTGTAGACCTGATAAATAAGAAGATAGGAAACAGGGGAAAGTAATTAGAATAGGTAATTAACTAAATAATGACAGGGGAGAGGCACTGAGGACTCTAAATATGAGCAGTCTTTCATTATTTAGAGGCAGAGGACAAAGGCAGAGGAGCAGAGAGCTAAGGCACTCAGTCCTCAGGACTGGCTGGACAGAGGACCAGAACTTGATGCCAGTCCCTTACTTGTTCCCTGCATGTAACCTCTCTGACACCATTTCCTCTCTTGTATAAAAGTAGGAAAATAATGTCCATCTCAAAGAGTCATAATGAGATTAAGAGATAAGGTATCTTAGATGGTATCTTAAATATGTGTACAAGAGGGTCCAGCGCGGTAGCCTAGTGGCTAAAGTCCTCACCTTGTATGTGCCGGCATCCCATATAGGCACTGTTCATGCCCTGGCAGCCCTGTTTCCCATCCAGTTCCCTGCTGGGGACGACCCAAAGCCTTAAAACCCTGTACCCATTTGGGAGACCCGGGAGAAGTTCCTGCTTCCTGGCTTCGGATAGGCTCAGCTCAGGTCATTGCAGCCACAAAGGGAGTGACTCAATAAACAGAAAATCTTCCTCTCTGTCTCTCCCCCTCTCTGTATATGTAATTTCCCAACAAAAAGAATACCCACATGTGTATAAGAATAAACATGGTGAGACCTTTGTGGTGGCACAGCAACCCAAGCTTCTACCTACAGCGCCAGTATCACATATCGGTGCTTGTTTGAGTCCCAGCTGCTCCACTGCTAATGCACCTGGAAAAGCATGAAGCTGGCCCAAGTTCTTAGGGCCCTTGCACCCACATGGGAGACCTGGCAGAGGCTCCTGACCCCTGTCTTCAGACCATACAACTCTGGCCATTGCGGCCATTTGTGGAGTGAATCAGTAGATACAAGACATCTCTCTCTCTCTCTCTCTCTCTCTCTCTGGCTCTACCTTTTTAATAAATTCAAAAGAGAGAGCAAACAGGGAATTGAAGCTCAATTTAACATTAAGTCATTAAGGCTTTGAGAATTTGCGGGCATTTGAGAACCAATTTTAAGAAAGGCTAGAGATTAAAGCTCAATAGAGCAGACCAGAAAACATTTCTAGATATACAAAATCATACTTAACTATATCCCCAAAAAATGCCCAGAAGAGGTAAAATTACACTTTGTTCATTCTGGGAATTGAACAAACAACCTGGGACTGGAACTACCATATATTTATCAAGATAATAATTGCCTGAGCAAAATACATCCTGAGATACATGGCATCTCAGTAAAGTCTCATTTACAGATGAGGTAGGAATTGTCCCATTTTTTAGATGAAGCCCAGGGAAATGAAAGAAGTCACCTAAGGTGCCACGACTAATAAGTAGCACTTGGAAAATAGAGAGAAAGCCCCTGTATTGCCTTAGCCAAGAGCAAGGAATACTGCATCGAGTCATCCAAGCTCTCACTACAGCTTGACACAGCAAGACTTTGGCTCCAACATGATCTCAATAAAAACAGACTTTAAAATTAACAGCAAGATCTTAATCTATCACCAATCCCACCTCACACATTAAAATTAGACCAAAAAGATAACTTAAAAGACACTTGGCCAGAGCATGTAATTTTTAAGAATATTTACTTATTTTTATTTGAAAGATTTTTAGATGTATTTTACAGAGACAGAAGGAGAGATATTCCATCTGCTGGTTCACTCCCCAAATGACCACAAAGGCTAGAGCTGAGCTGATGCAAAGCAAGGAGCCAGGAGACTCTTCTGGATCTCCCACTGGGTATAGCAGCCCAAGGACATGGGCCAGCCTCTGCTGCTTTCCTAGGCCATAAGCAGAAAGCTGAAAGGAAAGTAGAGCAGCCAGGACATGAACTGACACCCATATGGGATGCCTGCACCATAGGACAGAGGAATAGCAGGGTATGCCACCATACCAGAACCCAGAGAATACAACTTCCTTAAAAAAAGGCATAAGTTGCTTAAGCTCACCCAACCCCTTAGAATAAAAACCTTTTTTAATTTCATCACAATACTCAGACACTCTTAGCTGATACTTGTCCATGACCCAGTCTTTTTCCTAACTCCTGTTGATGCAATTGATCAACCATTCAGTTCTCTTCACAAAGCTCTCCCAACAGTGTACACAGCATATTCTGGGGCCCTAAGTGCTTTCATGCCCATAGTCTCCTTTCTGTTTCATCTGTGACCTAAGTCGCAAAAGGGATTATGGCATTCATTTTGTAGATAAGAATTTGAGATTCAGGAAATTCATAAAGGCAAGTATCAGAGATGGGAACCAAACCCAATTTTCCTTGTTCCAAACTCAGGTGTTCTTGCCACTGAATCACACTTTCCCAGTGTGAATGATGACATTAAGTTGTGAATGTTTTTATAAAAAAAAAAAATCATACTGGCAGATGTAGCATAACCCTACCATTTTCTATTTGGAAAATCCTAGGCTTAGAGAAGTAAACATACCTACCCTAGCTAATAAGAGACACAGTTAGGCCTTAAGACTTTGAAGTTGCTACTTAATAACTATGTCAACTTACTGCTACCTCTTGTTTACAAAACATGAAATCTAGAACCAAAATAGTATGCTTTCTTCAGGTTTTGCACTTTAACCCACGGTTCCTACATCAGTGGACAAGGGGCTGCTGTCTGTGTGCTACTTTTGATTCAATCTTATGCATTACCTAGAATTCTGTGTAGAGAGATATGTGAAGTCACATCTGAGCACGGTGTGAAAGAACTCCTTGACTGATATTCATGCCTCCCATGTATATTAAAGACAATTGGTCCCAAAGAAGACATGTATTGGACAGCTCAACCCTCAAATAAAACTTGAAAAGCGTATTAGAATATCTTTCTCTTATGGAATGCCTTCTTTGTGCCAGGCACTGAGTTATGCATTTTACCTGTGTCCTCATAGAACCTCCATGGGAACTCTGTGCCATGGATACTATTATGTCCACTGCCATAAGCAGCATGCTAAGACTCAGGGAAGCTACATGACTTGCCCAAAGCCCCCCACTAGGAATTTCAGAATGTAAACTATACAGCAAGCAGAGCAGCTGGCTGCATGGAAAGGAACAGGGCACTATCAGAAATCAGGGTTTTCACTGCTGACTACCACTAACAATCTGTTTGATACAAGGCAGTTCATTCCCACCCCATTGGCATCATTTTCTTTGCCTATAAAGGGACACTGCTGCTAAAATATGTCTCATGAGTCTCTCCATCTCTACAACTCTGACCTGAAGAACGAGTGCACCAGGACTAGGCAGGATGGGAGACACGACCACCCTCACAAAGCAGAAGGAAGGATTAATGAGACAGGCATCCTGCTGTCCCAGTCTCCGAAAAAATCTGCTTTGTGATCCCCACAGCAGCCCAGAGCTTCTTGGCAGTCCCAGCCCAGAGTCACTTCATCCTCCATCGACAATTTAATTAAGATGTGTGAAGGGCCATGGGAGCCACAGATGAGAAGAGAGATCTGAGAACAAATACCTAGAGTATGCTTCCAGTCTTCCCCACCTCTGATGTTACCTTCACATTCCTGGAGATTACATTTTCCTAATAGTTCTCTCTCCATGTGTCTGTGAGTACAGCCTTAGCTCTGGGGACACTGGGTGAGGCTGAGAGGATGTATTAATTTTCTGAATACTGTTGCCCAGAGGGCCGTTCAGCTCTGCCTGTCAGCAGCCCTGTTCCCTGCTGTGTCCATCCTGTCAGGTCAAATTGCATCTTGCAATTGCCTGCTGCGTGTTTTGTTAATTTGTGCCTGGAAGATCATCTGCAAATCTGGTCACAGCTGAATTTATACATCTCCCTGTTTCTTGCAAAGGAATATTAAATACTTCAGAGATGCCATGATTGTTTCTGGGTATTTCCTCCCTCAATCTTGGAATTTTCCCTCCCATTTGCTCCCTTCTTTCTCTCAGTGGCATTGAATGATGCCTCTTTGTATATAAAAAAAAAAATCAGAAATTTCAAGCTCACAAAAGACTTGAAGATTCTGCCCAAACTCCTTATAAATACATGGCGAAACAAAGGCCCAAATACAAGGGATTTCCCCCCAAAGAGCAAATCACAAGCTGGAAGTAGAACTGAGATGAGTAACACTAGGGATCCCCATGCCCAGTCCAGTGCCCTTTCCAAAATGTAAGCCATGCTGGAAAACAACTGATCTAGTTTATCAAATTTCGAAAAACTAAAATTTAAAGCTCACTCTACCAAACGTTTCCTGGCAATTCTCAGTAACCATTTCCATTTATTACCCCATACCTCAACCACCTGTGTAAATCAGTTGACCTAAATGACAGTTGCCAACACTAATGATGACTGATATCCAGGAAATACACTTCATATCTGTATATAAAGAAAAATTACACATTCTAAATACAATAATTTTATATTAAACCAATCTCTAATTGACATAACCATCATATTATATTTAAATTAGGTTGTGTGATGTAGTAGTTACTGTCTCAAAATGATCCTATATATCTATTTAACACTGGCCCGTTTCCGCAGAGAGCATTTTACGTGAGCAGAATAACTTACGATTCAAGAGAGTGGATTCTGACTGGGGGCCTTTGTCTACGAAGATTGCTCAATTCATCTCTGAAAATCCCAGGAAACAGAAGACACTCCCTGCCCTCAAGTAGCTTCCATCTAATTGAAATATGCTCAAAAAACAGATGGCTATCAATCCTGGCAGTCTAGCCTAGATGAAGTACGTAACGTAGACAACATGTTCTACAGGAATATCTACTCTCGGAGTAACAGTCCTGGAGATGAAGTGAACCAGCAGATGAGAGTGCTCTCTCATTGTTGCTCTCTCAAAAATAAATATCTTTGTTTAAAATTAAAGAACTATCGTTCTTAGAACAAGGAAGAGTTCCAAATACATAGATTGCTCTGCTCTGTGAATGGTTGTGACTGCAGTCAACCAGCAATAACAGGTGTGAAAAAGTACTTCAGCCAATGTAAGTTTAGAAGAAAGTGGGGAAAAAACAGTTTGATTAGATTTACTTTGGGAAAGTAAGCAGGTGACCGAGTTATCAGCTTCATCAAACATCATACATTCCAAGGGCAAGACTTGCTAGGGGATGGCTGGAACTCAGTAACTCATGATCCCCAAATTCTTCAGAGATGCCTTCCAATAATGAAATCAAATTTCACCAATATTCATCTCTCTACTTCCCCTGGGCAGTATAATATAACTTCACTGAACAACAGATAGGCTCTTTAATGTTTTTAAAAGCCAGACAGGGCTCCAGTTTCCTAACACTCCCCATTTTGAGGGCGATATAATTACTCAGAAGTAATTAAAAGATTCTGAACTACTCTGTGCATTCTGTATTTGCAAGATATTTGTACTTTGGAACCTACTGGTACTAATTAGAGTCTCTTATTTTGCAATCACTCATAATTTGTTTCTTCCTGAGCTAATCTGGCTCATGAATGTGTGATCAGGATACACTCAGCTCTTCATTAATATGTGTGCCGACCCCAATTCTAGCACAGCCAGCACTTAATTCTGGCTTTGTTCCTGTCCCCTGCCAGAGGTCTAAAATTGCCGTGTTTGAGAAGATGTGGACATACATGAAGTCAGCAGAGCCATCTGTTTTTGTACGGACCACAGAGGAGGGGATGATCCGAGTAAGGAAATCCAAAGGCAAATACGCCTACCTCCTTGAGTCCACCATGAACGAGTACATTGAACAACGGAAACCCTGTGACACCATGAAGGTGGGAGGTAACTTGGATTCCAAAGGCTATGGCATTGCAACACCCAAGGGGTCCGCCCTGAGGTAAGTAGCCAAGATCTGCTTCCTTCGTACTCCCTCTCCCCTGCCCATCTCAGGAATGAAGTTGCTGTGTCTGCTACATGGCTCCAATGCCACGTCCAGCTGTCCATTGGCTCCTCTTCAACATCCGTGGGCCTGGAAGAGTCCAGCCACCCAAGACCTTCAGCCCTGAGGTTGGAAATTGACCTGGGGGCCTCAGCTTGCTGTGACTGTCACTGCCCATGTGTTCTTCCCCACACCCCACCTTATCCCTCTAATTTGTTAAGCATCTATGAGCCTTGTGTTTTTTGTCATGTAATCTGTAATATCCCATCCTTTACCAAATATACCTGCATCCAAATAGGCCATGAACAAGGTTCTCCAGCAACCTGGATTCTCTGACAGAAAATGGTTTGTAGTGCTCGTTTCAAAAGAAACACATTGTTCAAATGAAAAATCAAGCAGTACAAGTCCTAAGACTCTGACTATAGAATTGATATTGCACCTAGTGAACAGAACCAAATTAAAGGGAGTACATAACTCTTCACTAGACACTTTTTTTTAGCAAGATATAGCTAGTTCAGTAAAGTGAGATTAATTCTGCATAAAGAAGCTCTGATATTTACTCTAAACAACAAAGAACTAGCTATAGACTTGGAGTCAGGAAACCTCGTTCTAATTTTGCTATTTGCCACCATTTATTTATAGAAGGTAAGATACATGATCTTCAAACCCTGTTTCCTCATCTCCAAAGGGAGGATAATCATCACAGCCATTCCTAGGTCCAAGGTGGTTTTAAGCTCAAATAGGACAATTTATGTAGCTGGATACTAATGACAGAACCATGTTAAGTCACCTATCAGACATCACATATGATATGAAGGGTTTAAGTCATTTTGGAAAAATGTAGGATTCTAAGAAGGATAACAAGGAATAATAAAACTTTAAAATATATATATGGAGGGGAGTGTTCTTGACGTGACACCCAAGACCACTTCTACTTCTACTTCATTTATTCATCTCAATAACATTGGACGCCAGTATTTCTACATGCACTAACTTACTAGCTAAACAAGATGGAAGTAGCATTATATTGGTCAGCTTTTTGTTGTTTTATCAAAAATCCTTGAGATGCCTGAGAAGAGCTTCATAGGAAGCAAATAGTTACTTTTTATTTTAAAGATTAATTAATTAATTAATTAATATGACAAGGAGAGAGAGAACTTTCATCCATGGTTTTAGTCCCCAAATGGCCACAATGACCACGTCTAGGGCTAGTCCCAGCCAAAGCCAGGATCCTAGAGCTTCAGCTAGGTCTCCCATATGGTCATCTTTGGGTCATTTTCTGCTGATTTTCCAGGTGCATAAGCAGGGAAGTAGATTACAAGCAAAGCAGCTAGGAATCAGTCATTCTGATATTGGATATTGATGTTGCAGACAATGGCTTAACTCACTGTGTCACAGTTCCAACTCCAAGAAAGATTTGCTTTGACTTGTATTTTGAAATCAAGAAATACCATTAGCCTGATTCCTGGTAGAAGTCAAAACTGATAGTTTGTGTGAAGAGCAATCATACAGTGATCTGGGAAGCAGGGACACAGGAACACCTGCTTCCTCTGTATTCTAGGAGGCATCAGCTAACAATGCCATCAAGACCTTCATGTCATAATTAGATCAATATCTTCACTGTAATCCATCAGACATTGGCATTAATCCATTACCTGGTAACTAACATAAGACTGAGATTCAAATATCTACCTGTGACTGAAGAGTCAAATTCTGTTCATAATATGAACTGTCCCCATTGAAATACATTCTTGAAATGCAGACAAATATTAATGATTATTGTTTAGTATCTAGTGATAATTATTATAAATACAAGAAAACATACAAAGGGACCCAGATGACATCTATTTAACAGGAATACTGCAAAACAAAATTCACATAATAAAAACCCAATATGCTGGGTATGATTTAACAGGTAACCTTGTAAATGTAAGCTAGGAAATCCCTAGGACCAAAAAGAAAAAAATCTAAATCAGCACAAAAGGTATAAGCTAACTGTCCTCCTTAAGGAGGGAGATATAATGATATAAAAAGTAATAAAAAATATTTTTAAAAAGACTAAAAAATACAAATTAGGATTTGAAGAAATTAAAAAATGCAGCCATGACAAATTCTCATTGGAAGGTTAAAAAGCAAATTAGATTAAGTCAAAGAGAGAATCAGTGCACAGAGAAAAATGACAGAGAAAATTTCCCCCATAAATCATAATGCAATGAGTTCTTGTCAGATTGAAATGTAAGGATGAGATAAAGCCAGTATTTCAAAGGGTTCTTTCAGAATTTATGAAAAATATAGACCCTCAGATATGAAAATTGAGTCTCAGCAGGATAAATAGATAAAACTCATCAAGTTATTGAAGTGAGCCTGCAGGACAGTAAAGACAATGAAAAGATTTCAAGTACAGCCAGATATAAACAGGTGTAATCAAATGTGCAGAATAGGTTTGCTGTTGCTGGAAATAATTGTCCAAGGGTATGTTATTTAAGCTGAACTCTGATTACCATGAGTCAAAAGGGCAAATTGAGGGGAGTGGGGAAAAGAGTGGTGTAGGTAGAGAACAGCCTATGAAAAAACTCTAAGGCAAGAGATCATGACTTATCTGTTCAAGTAAAAGCAGCCAAGCTAGAAGAGAAAAGGTTAAAGTATCTGTGAAGATTGAAGTTGGGAAAGATTTTTTAGGGATTCTGCCCTATTCAAAGGGCAATGAAAATGAATTAGTATATTTTAAGTCATTGAAAATTAGCCAAAGAACCTGGAAGAGTGTGGACATAATTGAGAGGATAAGAAGTGCCCTCATATTCATCAAAGTTTGCATAGAAATTTTTGAGACCTTGTACCCAGTTAGACAAAGTTCAAAGGAGGAATCTTCATGATATTCTTTGCCAAAGAGACTTTTTGTCTCAGAAGCATATACATTACCCTGAAGATATCCAAAGCACAGAAGGAGCTCTTATAGACCCAGAAAGATCACTGATGCTGTAGTATTAGTTTACCGAAGGTTTTATGAGTCAACAACATTACTACTCTTAAAAATTGGATTTATCGTTCAAAGAAGGCACAGAGGTGTGATATGATTGGTACAGTCAGCAGACTATCTGTGCCATCCCATCCCATACACAGGTGTATGAAACAAAGTGAGAATTCAGAATCTTGGATGTTTGAGTGATATAAACCTAAAGCTCACAACATCTTCCATTCAATTGACTTTCACTCACCGGGTGGATGCCTACATGCCACTTAGTGTGCTGCGGGCATTATCTCATATAATCATGGCCATTCCCCGTGAAGTAACATCATGTCCATTGTACAGATGAAGAAACACAGGTCAAGAATTCAGTCACCTGAGCAGGTTGACAGCAAAAATAGAGCCAATATTTCTATCCCAGGCAGCCTGTAACAGCCAAAATTGTAACTTACTTTAAAGTAGTGCTGGCTTTTTGGCTACAATGATTTAAATCCAAGAGTCCAGATTTAGGCCAGGTTTTGTGTATGCCTATTCATATGAACCAAATAATAATCTCATCTTAAAAACAACAAAAAAGGCCCAAAACCCAGAGTGTATACTCACCACTCTAAAGGCCAAAACAAAACAACAACAACCAAAAAAAAAAAAAAAGTCAATCTACTCTCACTTTAATACATCGAGCACAACCCCTTTGAGTAGTAACACTGATTTTTTGTTTTGCATGCCCAGACATTCTCTCTGGGGAAAATGCTAAAGATAATTCAACTTTATAAGGCGAAATTTAATTATTTTGCTTATGTCTATGTAAAGACATAATTAGTATATTGCTTTTGAGAAAGAACGAAAGAAAGAGAAATGAAAAAGAACTTGTTTCAAACATAGATCACTGAGATCTGATTACCCAGATGTGTAGCCCAAGATCTCTGTCCACGCTCCTTTCTCTCCAGCAGCAAACTTGATGACAGCCACAGGGCCACTGACAACCGGCTCAAAACAGAAGAGTAATGGTCCCTATAAGATGGTCTCGAGTTTCTGGTCTGGGAATTTCCTCTACCCTCCATGAGATGGTGCTTCCCATCTGTGTATGACAAGCAACCATTGTTTAGCTGCTATTGGAATAGGTCTCCCACAAACACATTACTAAAGAACAGTTCCACAAAACGAATAAACACACATACACACACATACTCACAAGGCACATTTCCAAAACACCACTAATTCACAAAGCCAAAACCATATTATTTCACCAAAGCATGGTCAAATAACAGAATCACTGCAAATAAATATCCAAATCACATGTGCCTATTCCAGAAATCTTAGAGCCATGGATCAGATTCCAGGAAACCATCCCATATGACAGAGATAGAAAGTGATGGAAAGAATGAAGAAGTAGTCCATGGTCCGTCTGGGCCCACTGAAAAGGGACCCATTACACACTTAAGATGATTTGGGAGAGGAAATCAACTTTGTCTTCAAATTATTTTGAAACATATAAACTATCTTTCGTAAAGACTGTACAGCCATTCACGAGGCTGTCAACCTTTTGGGGTATTTAGAGTGCAGAATGGTACTGCAGTATGCTCCAGATGTTGTTATCAAACTTTTTTCTTCCCCATGTAAGTTGAGACTGGTGCAGCCCACTGCAGGCAGATGTTCTTCAGGCTTAATGCCTGTACTTGCACTAAGAAACAACCTTGCTGGCAATTCCCCTCCAACACTTGCTCACCACAGACCTCACTACACCTGTGGGTCATTCATTCCCTTCCAACACACCTTGAACAAGTTCCAAGCTTCTCTAAGGCAGATTATCTAACTCTGTCTCAGAAGATATCCAAGGCCCAAATGTTCCTCTAAAGCTTGCCAAGTCTACTTGGCAGAAGCCAAGCCACCGTCCCCACAGAGCGTTAAAAGGCTGTGTTAGTGACAGAATGGGATTTTTTTGTCTCTTCTGCTCTGGAAACAAATACTCTAATAAAAGGAGAGAGTCCCATGC